GACCTCAACAGCACCTATCCACAAAAGCCTGTATACATATGAAACAAAAACCTGCAATATTGATTTCACAATTTCTAGAGAAAGAATCACTATCCTTCACAAATTTTGTGTTTGATAACTATCAGTCCTAAAGATTTGCAGCTAATCAATAACTTAAATTACCTGCTTCACCTTCCAGCTGTGAGGTTGTGTTACATGCTTGCCGATCTGTTGAACTTGAAATATTATCAGCTTTCTGTTATCAAGCACTTGCTGATTGCGATCAACTCAGTTTTCAGTCATTCACTTTATTAATGGAAAACACTGAGCTGCCTGAATCTTTCCTTTAAGACATGCCTTCTGTTCTTGAGGCTCTTTAAATTCTGTCCAGATTCTCTGTCTTCTCCTTTCATTAAGAAGAGGTCTTGGTATCTCAGTATCTCTTGTATGGACAAGGCATCCTGAATAAGGCAATTTAATCTCCTATTTCATTAATTGCCCAAAGCTCATACTAGTCCTTTTTCACATTGCTATTTAGGGAGGTCTACACCTATACCTAATACCTTTTCGAATCTCATTTGCCCAGGATAAAGTTTCTGAACCTGTAAGCAGGTAGCATCTTCTATAAACTGGGTTGAAAAGAAGTCTGCATTTCTGACTTCTACCAGCTTTTTACGGATCAGTCACTTGTCTTCTTGATTACTTGCTGCTTTCCCAGTTGTTATCTGCAAATGTTACCAGTTCTGACTGACTTTTCTGTGAGATGTTAACCGAAATGTTCAGATAGTAAAGCTGAGAACTCATTTCTCCAGGAGTCCACAGAAAAAGTAGCTGTTTAGCAGTGATTTTTTTTTTGGAACGTATATAATTTTGGAAACTTAGCTGTTAGAGAATTTAGAATCATTCTGTGAATACCATGTTAATTTTTTTATCCTTTCAGTTTTTAATCAAACTCTCATGCAGTACCAAGCGTTTCAAAGGTCCACTTATATCAACAATATTATTTTAAGCAGCCAAAAGTTTAACATATCCAAATATGATGTGGGTTACTTTGAAAATACTTTTTCTCATACAGTTGTTTGATTACCATTAACTCTATTTCTTTTCCTTTTTTCTTTATTTATGGAGTCCCTCATCGACATTGCATTATTTTACTCTGGAGCTCTGTCAGCTGAACTGGCCTGTATTTGAGCAGGTCATTCTCTTTGACCTTCTCAAGTATTTGAGAATAGCATCTATCTATAATTCTTCTGAAGTTTGTTCCCATATTCAAAAGTTTATTGAAATCTACAATAGTGATGCTAAGCATCACTTAGCCAGCTCTTTTATGCCTTTGCTTACTGGAAGTGGAGAATACTTATGTCTATTATTCCCCTTTTTATTTCTGAATAAACACAGGAATAATATCTGGAAATTAAATTTGCCTCTTTCTAAAAACTA